AAATCTCATCTTGTCTGTTTTGGACTTATCAACAAGCCTTCACTAGGTTCCCACTGTCTGTCAGATACATTAGAAGTTTGTAACACAGCCCACAAGGCCTTCTGAACCCAGCCCAGTGCAGCCCTGCCACTCCTCAGAGCCTCTCTTACCCTCTCCCTTTCACCTTGGCCCTCCTTTCCGCTGGCCCGTTACACACACTGTTCCCTCTGCCCAGAATCCTCTCCCGACTTCCTCAATCAGAGCCAAGGCCTTCACTGTTCAAAACATGATGGGCCCCTCTGCTGTATGTTCTCTGACTCCCTTTAACTCTCCACAGTGTAACCTTCATCATAGCTCAACGTAATTTTTCATCTAAAGCCTGTGCTCCCAAACACATAAGGAGAGGGACCACGTTTATTTTCTTCAACTTTGTATCCCAATTGCTTGGCATAGAGCCAAGTCCCAGTACACCATGAAGAAATATCTGTAGAATGAATGAACAAACAAATTGGAGAACCATCTGGAAGGACATCATAGCAGCCATAGTAGAAAAGCTCTTAATATCTTTTTTTAAAAAAATTTTAATTTTTTAATTTTTGGCACTGGGGATTGAACCAGGGACAGTTAACCACTGAACCATATCCCTAACTCTTTTTTTTTTTTTGAGAAAGGGTCTCACTACATTGCTTATACCCTCACTAAATTGCTGAGGCTGACCTCAAAATGATGAACCGCCTATCGCAGCCTCCTGAGCCTCTGGGATTATAGGCATGAGCCACCTCACCCAGCTCTTAATCTGATATTATTCTTTTTTAATATCAGTTATATTGAGATAGAATCCACATACCATAAAACCCACCCATTAAAAGTGTCTACAACCCTGTGGCTTTTAGTGCATTTACAGGGTTGTGCAGCTACTACCATAATCAATTTCAGCACATTTTCATCACCTTCAAAAGACACTACATCCTTAGAGATCATTACCCTTCCCCCTGTTATTATTGAAATTAATAAAGCCTCACACTGTAGAGTGTTTTCTGTTTGGCAGAACACTTCATGTGGACTCAATGAATCTTGAACAATTCTGTGAGGTGGGCATTTTAATTCAACGTTCACTAGGTTAAACTACAGTGTATGAAGAGAGAATTTTAATTAACAAAAAGTCAAATCTTGAAGGAAGGGGAAGGGTGCAGGTGACCAGGGAGCAAGAAGCCACTGTCTACAGAATGTGGCTTCCATCGAGGTGTGGCGCTGGGTGCTTCCTGTGTGTTAGATCACGGCCTGGTGGCCTGCGTATTAAGCCATGTCATGCTGAGTGCACAAAAGTCAGTCAGCTGGGGGAACAGAAGGTGGGGAAATACTGCTTAAGGAAAATGGCTTTGGGACAATGATGATGATGACAATATGTGATCTGAATTTGAATCCCAAATTTTGTGGCTATAGACACGTTGACCTTCCCAATCTTCAGTTTCTTTATTTAAAAATAGTATCCACGGGATCTTCCCCGTGGGGGTGTTGTGACAATTAAATGAGTTAATAATGTCTGTGAAGCATCTGGTACAGTGACTGGTGCTCAATAAACAGAAAAACATTCGGGATGACCCTAATTATCAACAGATTTGAATGAAAACACCCATGGATTGAACACTATGTCATTACTAAAAATGAGAATTCATTGCTATCCAGGTTGTCGTGAAATAGATCTGCTCAAATGCTTCTAGTGCTGCCATGAGTCAGACTTTTGGAAAGCAGAAGTTCAACGTGAGGTAAGAGCCTTCCTTTTAACTAATGTTAAAGGGAACTTCATGTTTACTCTGAGGGGATAATCTAAAGTAAGCCAACAATGCAACACCAGACAAATAACAAAAAACAGACCCACGTCTGCATAGACAGAAGAGTCCATTACAGTGTCGAAGGGTTTTATCAGTGAGATATTAGGTCGCCATTGACAATGTTATAAACTGTCCAGGCACAGAGACACAAGGCCCTGAGGAGGAGGGAGCCTGGCATGAAGAGAGAATAGAAGCCAGTGGCCGGGTAGAGCTGGAAAGGTAGGTGGCTTCCGGAGAGCAGGAAACCTTCATAGACCTTTGCTGGGGTATTTTACACATATAGACAAGGAACTATGCCTCTAAAATCCCCAGGTGCCACTAAAAGTTTTTGAGCAGAGAGTGACATAACTGGAATTGGGGTCTTAAAAATCTCACTTGCTACAATGCACAAAATAAGCTAATCTTTAAAATACAAATATGGAGACAAGGTATGATACAAACATGGATTAGAGAGATTAGATGTCGAGTAGATTTCCCCCCTTTCCAAATTGTCCCTAATCCAATCGACACACCAAACTCTCTCCAAAAAAAAAAAGGAAGAAAAGAAAAGAAAATTGATTCTCCTGCAGAGAGTAGCTTTGTTCTCCCATGAATGTTGGGGACATTATGCAAGGGGATAAAATGCTTGGGAGGGAGACTGTCTTGCTAAAGGGCAGCTGACAGGGAGATGGGGCGGAGATGGGGTAGGAGATGAGTCCTTATCCACCTCCATCTCAGCTGCTTCTCCATGAGCTGATAAACCCCAAATAGCTTCCTGTTGATGTTACAGATATCATAACTTTGCTTATCATCATTCTGATCTCCCCTCACATCCTACCTTGAGGTTGGAGTCTGTCAGCCCAAAGTGCAGCCCTGTCACACAGGGCTCGGCAGATGGAGCGCTGGACCAGGAACTCTGGCCCGAGTGTTCTCTGGGCAGGAAAAAGCAAGGTGGCTTTGTGAACTATTCACTTTCTCATCGTGGGTCTGTGTTTGCATGCGCTCAGGGAGTGTGTGAGCTGCATGCACACGCCATGCGCATGTTACAGGACACTTTTATTCACACTCATTGATCCACACCACAAACATTTGCTGAGCACCTACTAGCTATCATCAGAATTGTGGGGATGGGATACAGAGAAAAATAAGATATAGTTCCTCCATGACACTCCCTGCTGTATAGAGCCTGGTTGTGGATGACGATAACATACAAAGTCACGGGATTTTAGAACAGAAAGGCTGCTGGATTTGACTGAATCAAAACTCCTTATAGAGGCTGGGGTGTAGCTCAGTGGTAGACCATGAGTTTAGCATGTGTGAGGGCTTGAGTTCCATCCCCAGCACCAAAATAAAATAAAATAAAATAAAACTTTCTTGTAAGTATACAAAAGGAAACCTTCAGAGATGTCTCAGATCTCCAGGTCACTGAAGGTCAAGTCCAGTGGACTTTCTACTAGACACTGTGAGCATGTGCACCAGAGTGTACCTATTAAACCATTGTGTACCTATTGTCACCATTTCTGACACATCGTCAACCTGTCCAGTCTTAGTCCCCTATTAAGTGAGGAGCTCTAAAATCCCACATGGAGGACCTGAAGTGTGTGGTCTTAAAGGTCTTCATCAACAACGACACGGCACCGGGAGCCTCAGGCAGCATCCTGGAAGGTTCTGGTCCCAGAGCGGTGTGGGTGTTTCGTGGCTTGGGCTACTGCCTTTTCTACACGGCATTCATGTCAACGGTCATAGAAATAGCAAGTCAAGAATCATGGCTTCATTTGCTCAGGTTAGTTGTAGCTCAAGTTAATTAAATGCAGAGTCGACACCTGAGTCTGGAGCAGAGAGAAATGTATTATTGATACAGCAGAGCGGACGTGAGTGTGGGGGGCCCTGTTAGGAAATCCATCCTACAGCTGCCAGTGTCCCTGTGCATTCCTGAAGCCCCCAGTGATAAAGGGCCACATGTTCTTAACATAAGCCACATGAAGGAAAAAAAAAAACTACAGCCACAGACAAGACTTCACAGAGCTGGGACAATCAATGCCTCATAAAGCACTGAGAAGAACTTGTCCCAAGGGGCATCTTTCTCACCAGGCTTGAGAGGCTAAAAATGCTGATAGCTACTCTTTCTTTCTTTCTTTTTTTTTTTTTTTTTGTATGAGAATTGAATTCAGGGGCACTCAACCACTGAGCCACATTCCCAGCCCTTTTTTGTATTTTATTTAGAAACAAGGGCTTGCTGAATTACTTACAGCCCCATTAACTTGCTGAGGCTGCCTTTGAACTCATGATCCTCCTACCTCACCCTCCCAAGCTGGAATTAGAGGCATGGGTCACCGTGCCCAGCCTAATAGCTACCATTTTTGTTTTCCAAAAAGAACCCTAGGCTAAGGTACCTCACCTACTTATTTATATTATTTTACTTTAGTCAACCTTATGAGAATTTTTTTAAAATTAGATATTTATTATTAACCCAATTTTTAGATTAAAACTTAAGATCAGAAAGGTTAAGTAACTTTTCCCAACTCTCCCAGCTACTAAGAAATGGAGCCAGTATTCCAATTTCAAATATTGAACTTGAAGGCCATTATTTTGCACTGGCCAACTTGTTGTGAGAACGGGTGACATCACACAGGCCCGTAAAGTTTTCCTTTCTTTTTAAAACTATCTGTTATCTTATCATCCTTCCATTCCTCCTTACTCCCAACTGTAGATCTTAGGATTTTAGCCTGAGATCCCCAAAGAGCCTAAAACTGACATTCCTCCCCTTCCTGACACTAAGTCAGTTTAGGTTCGTCTCATTTGATGCTTATAGGCAAAAAATTGGTCCTTGAAAAATTATCCTCATCCATTGCCCTACATCCCATGTGTACTCTCCCATGCAACAGCCACATCATGTACAGGTTTGGAGATGAGCCAGTCTGGAAGGGATCTTTGCTAGTAGCTGAAGCCCTGCTTCTTCAAGCTGCAGAGGAAGAACATGAGTGGGGGGACAGCCAGTTGTGAGCTCACGCAGCAAGCTGGTGCCAGAGCTAGTACTTAATCTGGGCCTCTTGACTTGACATGCAGTGTTCTCTCCACTGCTCCAGACTGTGGGCATATTTGGAGTACATAAATGTGTGCAAACGTGAGAAAAGAGATTACTAATCTCCCTCATCGACACAAACCGACTCAGAGATCAGAGCAGAGCAGGACCAAAAGGGACAGGAGATATTATCTGTGCTTCACCTGCTGCGCCCACTGAGCTAGATTGCAATCTTCCTAGCAGCGTGTTTGTTGGAAATGATGAAACATTTGTGACTGACTTCCAGTGACAGAGAAGGTTCTGGGTGGGGCTAGGTGGAAGGATGTTTCCATTAGGACCTCAGTGACCCGTGGATTGGGATCAGAACTTGCCTATGGCCACAGAGGTAAGTACTGTCCGCATTGATAGGATTTTAGATTAATTTGTAGGATATGTGTTTGTCTGTGAATGTGTACAGGTGTGACTCTGGGATTCCATGTTGGGATTCCAGGGTGTGAATTTAATTTGCAATTGGCATGAAGTGAGCCTAAGATTCAGTACTTTGCACACTTTGGGGGCATACATCTCTTGTTCCTGAGACCTGAGATCTGTTTGCATTAGCAGTAGCAGCTATCAGGGCTCTAGCTAGAAGGTGCGTGGATTTGGGGTGCAGAAAAAACTGATTTCAAATCCCTACTCTGCTAAACTCCTGTGAACCTTTGTTTTCTCATCTGCAAAATAGGTATAAGAAGACTCACCTCATAGGATTGCTACAAGGATTCAGACACATACACCTAGTACCAGGACAGCACTTTGTCTGCACTCCGTCTGCAGTAGCTATTACTTTTTCTTTTGAAGTCAACTGGGAACAGATCTCAGAAAAAAAATCTCTCCACAGGTATATATTCCTTGAAATTTGCTCTGAGCTGCAAGGGACTAGTCATATGTGGAGGGAAAGGGGCCAGCTTGGGAGTCTAAAAATGTCGTTAATGGAAGTCAGATAATGGAAAAAAAATGCAAACATCTGGGCAAGGTAAAGCCAATAATGACAGGAAGCAGTAACGGCTGACCCTGAAGCAGAGCTTACTGCTTGCCAATCGCTGTTCTAGGATTTCACTGAATCCTCACAACCAAAGCATGTGCCATGGGAAGCTCTTCTTTAACAGGTGAAGAAATGGAGGCACCAAGGCATTTAGTGCCTTGACTGAATCATTGAGGGAAAACTCATCTGAGAACCTGAGCATAGATGAGCCTCCTGAGACCGGGCCCTTCTCCCTCATCTCCCCAGCCTGGGAGGGACTCAGGTCACACAGTGACCTGCACAGTGCTTGGCAATATGGAATAGGTGACAGCGAAGGCTTGTTAACTGGCCGACCCCGCTTCTTATGCTGTGTGTATCAATCTCGTGGTGTGAGATTTGGCAATCGTACCCAGTACAATGCCTTGAATAGAATCAGCTACATATTGTTGGGACCACCATGCAAAATGAAAGTCTGGGGTCCCTTGTTCAAAAATTATTAAGGATTTAAAGATGAGAACAGGAAAACATTAGGGTCATCACAGGACCCTTGTGAGCACAAGTCAGACTAGATGGCAAACCCATGAAGTCAGGCCTGGCCCTGTGTACTGACAATGAGGTGGAAAATGCTGGAACATTCTATGGCCTCATGTAACCCTCGACAATTCTGGGAGGGGGACATTTGACTTCTCAATTAAAAGAGGAGGAAACTGAGGCTCAGGGCTAGTGAGAGCCCCCCTCACAAGGTTACGTAAAATTGATCCAATTGCAATGTGTAAACTGTGTTACAAAGTCTCCCACCACCACCCCAGTGTCACTCAGAACCGTGTTAGGAAATGTGAGGTGTGAAACAAGGACAAGGTCCTAACCACCAGAGCTCACAAACTGAGCATAATCTCTAGAAGGTGTTTCGTTTCCATGAAATTAGTTGGCTCATCTCTATTTAGTTGGCCAGTGTATGAAATAGAAAATAATTCACTTAGCTAGTTCCAGGTGAACCTGGAGATTAATGGGAACTAGCAAAATGAACCCATGAATACTGTTCAAGTCGTTTGCAATTTTTTGTGTTCTTGCTGTTTCAATCTTGGAATGAAGTTGCTTTCAGCTCAGGAAATTTCTTGCAAAAAAAAAGCTTTCCCTGCAATTACTGTGCTTGCACCTGGAAATAAGTGTGACTGGAGGTGTGGCTTAGCTCGTGGGGACTCAATGTTTCTTTCCGGTTAATCTGAGTTTCACCCTAAAAGATAATTTTATTATTTTTTTAAAATATTTTTTTATTTGTGCTAATGAATTATATATAACAGTAGAATGCATTTCTTCAGGTTAATTTTAGACTTACGGAATTTTAGAATGACAAAATTTCAGGACCAAATCCATTTAACCCACCCCATCCCAGGAAACTGAGGCTCCATGCTTAAGATAACCCATTTATAACTTTGCTGAGTCAGAATGTTCATCTAGTTCTCATTTCCTGTTCCAGATGACTCCTAACTTCCTAGGGTAAGACCCCTGATGGGTGATCAGAGCCAAACAGAAGATTTCTCTGACACCCTAACCCTCTGCCATGCTCTTCCCCAGGGTGGTTGGCAGACTCCATTCCTTCCTTTCCTCAACCAGGCCATTCCACCTTCTCTGTTCCGTGGTGAGAGGACATGTTGACAGTCATGGTGGCAGGGCTGGTTTAGGAATAGGGGCTTCATACACTGATTTTCTTACATGCGCCCCCGCCACCTGAAAATCATGAGTGAGCTTAGCTTTATTTTTTTTTTAAATAGAATTCTATGGAAATGTGTGTATTTATATGGCTAAGCCATTTTGGGGTTGAACACTGCTCTGGGCTGAGGATCAGTTCCTGTTGAGCTACCCCATATATGCCATGCACTCTGCTCAACAATTTACATCCTGCACACAGTATGGCAAAGGGTCTGCCCCAAGCCCCCTTGGGAACTAGAACTTTTTAGTTTTGTCTTGTTTTTGTTTGTTTTGTTTTTAATGAGGAAAACAATAGTAGCTACCTCATAAAGTTATAAATAAAATAAAAATAATTCGTATAAAATGTTTTTTCATGATGCAGGCACATATAGAGTAAACACACAAAGTGTATGTGTTTAAAAAAAAAGAAGAAAAACAAGTGCCATCCCCATTTTACAGAGGTGACACTGAGGTGAGAGAGATAAAGCAGCTCACAGCTGGAAAGGACAGAGCTAAAATTCCAAGCCCCTCTACAGGGCTATTAAATTCCTGCTCCTTACTGTTTCCCTAATTACTGGAGTGGTTGCTTTGCAACGTACTCAGCTTTCTCTGCATTATTTTATTTTCTGCATTATTTTATTTGCATGAGGTCAAATTTAAATCAAACTTGTGAAAAACAACCAATTCCACTAAAGCTGTGTGGTACCTCCAGGACTGGCAGACCGCCTTAGCTCTATGTATTGCCAGCCTCCCTCTCTCCATCCATCCATTCATCCACCCATCAGATAATTCCTTCAGTGACTCTTCCCTGAACACTCTATCCCACAGGGATCTCTTTTTCTGCTGAAGTACTGTGTCTGATTGACAGCTCTCCTCTGGCAACTCATTCTTCTTCATCTATGACATCTCTTTGCCTTTTCACATATTAATGTCTCAATTTTCCAAACAAATATGAGCTCTTAAAAGCACAGGCATGTTCTCCCTTTCTTCATGCCAACAGAGTAATTCACCCAGGTCCATGCACACAGACCACTCAATAAATATCAGATTGATAAAAATGCAGAAATTTAGCCAATTGCCTCAATGTTCTATTAACATAGGGAGATAAAATTTGTGTAGACAGACTTCGTGTCATGCTAATTTAAGACACTCGGAAAACCTGGGCTTTTCTCAATGTCTTAAAACTTATTTTGAGGGCTGAGGTGTGGCTCAATGGTAGAGTGTGTGCCTAGCTCACAAGGCCCTGGGTTCGATCCCCAGTATGGCAATAACTACAAACTGGCTTAAAGTTTAGTTAATGAGAATGTATTATATTATTGAAAATTGTTATGACTATCAAATGGAATATTTACAGCCTTAAAGTTTAGCTAATGAGAATGTATTATATTATTGAAAATTGTTATGAGTGTAGGTTTTAAATGTTTTTGGCATAAAATATGTGAAATAATGTATATTTTAATTAGCTAGATTTAATCATTCCCCAATGTAAATATATTTCAAAACAAGATACAGTATGCAATAAATGTATATAATTTTATCAGTTACAAAAATTAATTGAAGGGTGGGGGTATAATTCAATGGTAGAGAGAGTGTTCAACAAGCATAAAGCCCTGGGTTCAATCTCTAGCACCAAAACAAAACAAACAAACAATCCATTTTAATTACTGAAAAGTTTGAAAGGGACACCAAGTAAAATAACTAAAAAGATGCTATAAACAACCCCAATACCCAGTTTTGTTAACATTTAACATTTATTCCCAGTCTCCCTTTATGAACAAAGTACATTTAAATAACATCCCTGATTTATTTTCCATAAAGTTATACCTGTGAATAAATCTGCATTCAATATATAAAATTATTGTTAATGAATTACTGTTAATAAACACAATTAGATTAATTGGGTGGGTTATTACTGAACTAATGTGATAACAAGAGACATTTAATGACCTAGAATTTTCTCTTTGCAAATTTTCCTTCTTTTTATGTTTATTTTTATACAGTATAAGACTATTGTATGCTGATAAATGCAACTGTGTTTTACCTTTTTAAAAGAATAATCCACATATTTTAATTTTTTATTTATATATGAGAGTGGAATGCATTACAATTCTTATAACACATAGATGTACTCTACATTTTTATAGACGAATCCTTTCGCTAGATAAATTCTTCCTAAATCTCATTTTTTTAAGGCTGTAAATATTCCATTTGATACCTTAACATAACATATTTAATTTTTGTTTTTTATTTAGAACACTTTCCATTTTTAAAACTTAGTTTATTTTCAAATAATTGACTCAGAATGGAGCTTCCCCCCCCCGCCCCCCCACCCACCCAATAACAGCTTTGGTCCTGATATAGATCATTTGTGAATTTTTTGTTCCACATCCTTCACCAGTATATCATTTGAGGAGTGTAGCTTTTTTTTCTTAAAATAAATGAAAAGGAGGAACACTTTAAAATTATGGTTTGCCACATGTGTTCTAGTTTTTTGTCTGTTTGCCTTTTATTTTTAACATAAGAAGTTTTAGTATTTTAAAGACAAATCTATTTTTCATTTATTCCTTTGTGATTTCCTCCATTGCATATCAACTAAGAAAGTTTTCTCTCATCCAGGGATTTAATAAATATTATTAAATATATGAATATCCATTTCTATTTCCATCTCATTTTAATGGCCAATTTTAAAACATTTACCTCCTTAATCCTTTTGGAATTTACTTTATTATCACATGGGTAACAAAATAAATAAAATAAAATAAACCTGGATCTGAGTTGTTTTCTTTTTTGTTATAAGTACCTAATCCATTGTCCTGTGCACAACATTTGTTAAATATGCTTTCCTTTCCTCCACTGGTTTTTGAAACGCTTTAATGACATATTTATTGTACACAGCAGCATATTTTTTAAGTCTATACTACATTTAAAAAGTGCTAGTCAGGAACCCACCTGTCACTATTCCTCTGCAAATGCACTTCAATTCTTCTCAATTATTATATTTTACCAGATAAACATTAAAATAATCTCAAGGTCAAAGAAAAAGAACCCACTCATTGTACTTTTTATTGGAATTATATGGAGCCAATAATTTAATTTCAAAACTGATTTTTAAACTGTTCTAGCTTTAGTGTTTTCCTATTAGCTTAAGTCTTTCATGTCTCTCAGTAAATTTTTATTATTTTCTTCAGAATTGTTTTCTATAATTAAGACTAATTTTAGATATTTCTATTGCCAAATATCATGGTATTTCCCCCCCACCATTCTATTTTCTGGCCATTACTAGTACAATAGAGAGAACCGCTCATAATTTTAGAGTATTGATCACAGCCATAGACTTTATTGAGTGTTATCATTAATTCTACCAGTCTTACAAAAAGTTCTTTTGGAATTTCTAGGCATAAGATCACATATTTTTCAAAGAAAGATGGATAACTTCTCTTTGCCCTAAACTGCTCCTCAATTTATTGACTCAGGCTCCAACCCCAGCCTTCCTGAGCACAAAGCCTCATTACTTTTTTTTTTTACATCTCAAATCTCTCTATGTATCTTAGTTTTATTGTCTATTAATTGGAAATAATAATAGAACCTGCCTCCTGGGTGGTCGTGAGGATTAGATGAATTCTATACATAAAAGCATCTGTCATATAGAACACACCCAGTAAATATTCAATGTCCTGATTATTATTAGAAGTGGAGGAGACTCCAACTTCCAGGAATTAGAATTTCTAGGGTTCTTTTGTTACATCAGACATTCTTGTTCTCAAATAACTGTTGAAATAGTTTACTATTTGGTAAGATAATGATTGATGGTGCAGGATAATCTTTAAGTAAGAAAAAATTCTGATGCTTTTATTTTATTGACTTAATCAGAAAGGGATATTAGATTTTCTTAAATGCTTGTTGGCCTTTAATGAGATCAATCATTTAAAATTTTTAATCAATTGATGTCATATTTGAATTAGATAAATGGAATTGTTAAGATGAGGCCTTTGGGTCAGATGGTCTTTGAAACATGACCCTTTCAGCTGGGGACCACAAATTGCTCAAACTTTCTAAGCCTTAGTTTCTTTGTCTATGAAAGGGTAACATCGACTCTTACACATGATAAATACTCAATCTTAATTTTTATTACCATAACAGTTGATTTCCTAGATGTGTCTGGGCTAACTTCTTGATATAGCCTCTTTATAAGTGAGATGAACTTGGAGGTTTTTCTGGACCCTGTTTAGTTCACATTTTGTACAAATTATGTGTTCCTTAAAACGTTGAAGTAATTCATTGGTAACACCATCTAGAATACAAATTTGGGGGAATAATTCTAAAGTGTTTTTCATTTTAAAATAATAACTGATTTGGTCCCTAGCATGGCAAAAAAAAAAAAGGAAAATAATAATAGATGGCATTTATTGAATGCTTATTACTATAACTCAAAAGCTATAATTATTTTACAGATCTTATCATCCTTAGAAATAGGTATCATTTATATTTATCTGATCCTGAGATTAGTTATCATTGTTCCTATTTTGTGCTTAAGAAGACTGAGGTTTTCAGAGTTTAAATAACTAGAGAGAGAAAGCTAGGAGGTGAACCCCAGCAGTCTCTCTTTGGGTTTTCTGCCTTGGGTGGATGAATACCAAGCTGCTGACCAAACTTTATTCTTATTTTTTTGGTCTGTTTAATTTTTCTGTGCCTTATGGAATAAATTTTGCTAATTTTTATTTCCTAGGAAATCATTAATTTTTTTTTTGAGATTCCTAAATCAGCCTTCCTTATCTCACAATTTTCTTTTTATCTCTTCTGTTTCTATAGTTACATTCTGAATGTTACTAACTTGGTTTGTGTTTCCTCTGTTTCTTTGTTATTTGAAACTGCATATTAAATTGGGGGAGAGAAGTCTGGTAACGTGGGGAAGGGTGGGTGATGCAAAATAGAAGTAAAGATTTTATTTTTTTAAATCTTTCACTTCCATCCAACTTTACTTTTTTAAAAAAAAATGTTTCATTTGCTTGTTATTTATTTATTTTTCTTTTTTATTTGTTCTTTTTAGATACATATGACAGTAGAGTGTGTTTTGACATATGATACCTATATGGAGTATTACTTATTCTAATTAGGATCCCATTCTTGAGGTGTACATGATGTGGAGTTTCACTGGTCGTATATTCATATATGAACATAGGAAAGTTAAATTTTGCTTCTTTTTCACCTCCCCCTACTCCAGCGTTTAAAACACACACACACACACACACACACACACAAAATACTTGCAGTGGTACATGCCTGTAATTCCAGTGGCTTGGGAGGCTGAGGCAGGAGCATTGCTAGTTCCAAGTCAACCTCAGCAAAAGCAAGGCCTGTTTCAAAATTTTAAAAAATAAATAAATAATAAGAAGAAGGGGTGGGGATGTGGCTCAGTGGTTAAACACCCTTTATTGATCCCAGAGATCAATAATATATATACCAAAATATATATATATTGGGCTAGGAAAAAAATCAGGAGTATTTTGCTGAGGACACACAATTAGCAAGTAACTCAGCCAGGAAAATTCAGGTACCCCCTCCCTGTTTTCTTCTCTATTATACCGCAGTTAATTTTAAAGACAATAAACTAATGATGGCACTTAATTTTAAAGGAGTAATAGAGCCATACTAACAGGATTGGTTGTTTCTTCTAGTCCATTTGATTTTCATAAAATTTTCTAGTGTGACCTCATTTTAAATCATTCTTTCTAGAATGAATCTATTCAAAGAAAACCAACTGTCAGTCTTTTGGTCCCATCTCTGATGTGATGCTGGCCCTATTAGGGAGCTCACCAGGAAGAGCCTTCCCAAGCAAAAGAGGGGAACTTAATAAAATGGAATCCAGCCTTATGTACCAGTGCGAAACAATCCAAGAAAATGCTCCCAGCACCCAGATGCAGCGTGGTTGTGAGGCACCTGGCTGAGGACAACATTAGTGTGTGTCTGGGTGTCAAAATTCAGCAAAGTGAAAGAGGACAGGACAGTCGCTACCTCGATGATGGAACAGGGCAAACGAAACCCCCACATGGTCCAGGCGCACGATGTAATTACCTTCTGTTGCTGATTTGGCGTGTGTGTGTGTGTGTGTGTGTGTGTGTGTGTATGAACATATGGCCTGATCAGCAATCTGTAATTAGGCCTCGGAGAACAACCTACTCATTGTGGTTTGGGGCCATTAGCCACTTAAATAATGACATCTTTCATAATTTTCGTACCTCATCTTGTCCTAGATCTTGTTTCCAAACTGTACTAAAAAAAAAATGTCTTAAGTTTCCTACGACAAAACCAACCCAATTTTTAACAGCTCCAGTCTCCATCATGGTAGAGTGCTTTAGAGTTCAAGAATACCTAAAAATATTTATTGAGTGCTTCCCATGTGCCTGGCATCATAAAAATAAGTTCTTTACAAATAGCATAAATCACTGAGCCCACCCAAGAACTCTGTGAAATAAATACTGTTATTCTTCCCACTAAACAGACACTGAAACCAAGGCACTGGGGAGTTCGATCACTCACTGCTAGAAGAGGACAGAACTGGAATCCGTGTTGAGGTCTCTTGGACGTCTGAGCTTCTGTTGCTGTCATTCAACGTAGTGGCCGTGTGTCCCTTGGCTGGTAATGTACTCATAATATATGGTAATGGTGGAAGGAAGGTTGGGCAATGTAGATTTGTATGAAGAGCCAAAATAAGACAAATAGGACATCTATCCAATGTAGTGATTTTCCACTTGGAGAAAAATTTTCTTATTTCAGGGTAGAAATGTGTGGGGTCATTTTGTTTTTAACATCGACCTGTTACATCCATGGGCTTCTGGGATGTTCCATGTCCTGCTGTGTGCAAAATGGTGCTAGACAAGAAGGCCTTGTCTAGCCCCAAATGTCAGATAGCACTAGGAACCACTAGTGGAGTGGAACGTGAAGTTGGCATACCGTATCTGTAGATTCTGCATTTGGGGATTCAGGCCAGCTACAAATATAAAAATATTCAAAAAAGAAATAGTGTCTCTACTGAACACACACACTCTTTTTTCTTGTCATTAGCTCCTTAAAAATATAGTAAAACAACTGGTTACTTAGTATTGACATTGTATTAGGTATCATAAGCAATCTAGAGATGAGTTAAAGTATACAAAAGGATGGGTTGTGTGCAAATATTATGACATTTTATATAGAGAACTTAAACATCCTTAGATTTTTGGCATTGGGGGGGTCTTAGAACCAATCCCCCCAAGGACACTGAGGGACAACTATAATTTAAAGTGATGTTATTATAAAACCCAGACATGGCAGGCTCAAATACCTTCAGGGATCAGTCAGGAATTGAGGAGAACCTGTTCCATTTTACAAAATCCAAACTCAAATCTTTAAAACACACTATGGAACAACAATCATCTCAGTGACTCATTTAGCCAGGGGGTCCCCAGTGAGAGGCCTTTTAGCTAAGGTTTTTCTGATCTGGAAATACATTTGCAATATATTAAGTGGGGGGGAACACCTACCAATCTGTATGATCCCATGTTTTTAAAAGATTGTATATAATTGTACATATTTTCACCTACATATACGGGGTACATGTATGTGAAAATGTGTAGAAAAAAATTGGATGCATATGAAATAGGATGATTTCATAAAATGTTTGTGGTGATTTTATAAAATGTTGTGCTCATGAATATTTTTAATACTTAGGCTACAAATATATATATATATATATATATATATATATATATATATATAGTAATTCTTCATAAATTAAGTAGGAGAATAGCCTTAATAAATTATTATCATCAGGGGCTGGGGCTATAGCTCAGTTGGTAGAGTGTTTGCCTCACATGTACAAGGCACTGAGTTCAATCCCCAGCACCAGCACCACAAAAATTAAAAAAGAAAGAAAGAAACAAATTAAAATCATCAAGTTCATTATGGTAACACAGCCCTGGTGACATACTGGCTGCCCCCTTTGCTGGGCTCCTTACCATGGCCAGAGTACGCTGAGGTCAGGTGTCCTACAGGAAGAATGGAGAAGCCCTGATGATAACCAGGTGACCATGTGGTGCTTCCTGGCACTGCAGTGGTGGGTGCTGGGACCCATATAGTAGGGTTCCATCATAAGGGTCCCATCATCCCCAGCCAGGAGCCTTCTCCCACTTAGGACATTCTCACCCCCACCTCACATACTGAATTTATATAAAACAAAGAATTCATGTCTGCATCCTGACTCCACCTTTGTAAGTCAAACTAAATAGAATTCTTTGGGAGTGACGATGTTAGTGGCTTTGCTCATTTAAATAAAAAGCAAATGGTAGACAGGGTCCTCTGTGAGAAGTGTCTAGGATTGATTATAGAAGATGGTGAGCAAATAGGATGGATAAACAGGGCATGTGTTGCTCATCTTTTGACCTCCCTCCAAAGAAAGGTCATTCCCAAGGATTAGGTGGTTGTTGTGTGAAAGGTGTCAAGGAGATGGTTTTATCTTCTCTGGAGACTTCCAGTGGCCAGAGCTCACAAGGCCATGGAAAGGCAATGATGGCAAATCCTGCAGGCACACCTGCCTCCCCATCATTATTTCCTTAGAAGCCCCAGTGTGAGGACTACAAATAAAAGCTCAGTCTTTTTTCATTGCCCTTTGCACTTGGAAACCCTGATTGAGAAAATAACCATTCATAGCAGTCAAAAGTTTTTTTAAGGTTTAGGGTCTACAGCAAGAAGATTGGGGGGGGGGGTACAGAGCCCCATCTCAGTGCTCAATAAATATCATTTCAAGGGCTTTAAACTGATTCTTTTCTTTGCTTCTAAAAAAACTCCACATTCAACAATAAGCAGATGGAATTCATACACTGGTGTTTTAAAATAAATGCACTTGTGAGGGTGTAACAGCTTCCGCAATCCTAAAGCCCACACTGAAGCTGCGTGGTGTGTGAATGCATAAGCCTGTTGGTGTACGAGCCTGGGTGTGTACACTTAAGATCTGGACATATTCAAAGATTCTATACCAGTGTTCTTTGCTCAGGAAATTTGCTTCTAGCCCCATTTAACCATTTGCTTCTGGTTAAGGTTCTCGAGGAGCAGAGCACTCAGATTGGATTCAGGCTTTGGACCTAGAGCTCAAAGTCAGGCCTGATCACTTTCCAGGCCTCTGACCTTAAACACCACCCATCTCTCTGCATCTCCTTTGATTGCAATAAAAGAATAATAATTACGCTTCTCTCATAGCATTGCTATCCAGAATAGGGAAGGTGGAGGGTGTGCCAGGTAGTGGCTGGCACTGAGGGTGAGTGGCTATTAGGTACTAACATTAATACACCTATTTTGTGCATTCAAAACCTGAAATCTGGGGAGAGGAAAGCAAATGACCCCCAAGCAGCCAAGATTGCCTGAGGGGAATTTGGCATAAAGCCCAAGAGTCCTGACCACTTCCTTGCCCCACCCCTGCAGGTCTCCAGGAACAGGTCCACCCCGGGTCTCTTCCTGCTTGCCCTGGAAAAAGTCTGAGCCCCATTTACACCAGCGGCAGCTCAGCCAGAAGCTCATCATGCTGACAGAGTGAGTGAGCCCAAGAAAAACCAGGCTTCACTGGTGTAGCTGGCCACCCGGCATGCACACCCTTCCTGGCTACCCTAGCCATGTTGTCCAGAGGCAAAAGGATCTGCCCTGAAGCCCCCAACAATGCCCAATATCTGCTTCCATCTGGGGAAGGGCTACCTTTTGCAACCGTTGACATCACTGCCATCTCTGACTTTCACCCTTCTCCTTTCCCAACAGAGAGATGAAGCTGTGGCATGGCTTAGTGATTGCAGTGTTGTCCCTCTTCCTCCAGATCTGTCTCCTCATGGCCCTCAATTACCTGCTCAGCAGGAACATAGGTAACTGGCTTTGTCCCCCTGCCCCTCCCAGTCACCCTAGGAGACTGTTCCTAATCCTGTAGAGGATGAGACCCCTTGGGAGCTATCTCTTGAAAACCTACTTGAGGACCCAATGACCAGATCCCTGGCACCACTTACCTGCCACCACACTGCATCCGGGCAATCCCCTCTCTGACCTCACCTTTTACCCAACCTATTTCTCACTGGGAATGACAGCCCAGGCTCCTCCCACACCCGGACCCTCTGTCGGGAGACCAGCTTCCTTGTGCTTAGGGAAGAGGGCTCCCTTAACCTGAGCCTAATAAGTTTTGTTCATCATGCTGAAGGACTGAATGTGAAAAATGGTCTTAAATTGCAACAGAAAGAAAGATAATTAGACTGAGACATGAGTTGAAATTCTTAAAATGATCTACAGAAGAATGTAGGTAGAGAAACTCTGTTATGAAAAAGCTTTACTATTAGGAAAAATAATGGTGCTTTGGCTAAGACAGGCTATGAGGCAGAATGATATTCTGAGGATTTTTCCAGAAAAGAAAGTCTAGGTTTCTCCATTGAATCATTCATTTGTATGCTCATTCATCCATGTGACAGATATTTATTGAGCATCTCAGGCGCTGTCTAAGCCCAGCCTATATGAAACATAGCAAATACAAATTCCTATCTCCTGGAATTTCTGCTCCATGGGACATCAAACAAGATAAACAAATCACACACATGTACATTAGGTAAAGATAAATCCTGGGGAGGAAGCAAGACAAGAAGCTAGGAGCTGAGAAGGGGCCAGTGTCCCTAAGGTGCTGACATCTGAGTATAAATTTGTAGGAAATGAGGAGTGAGCCACTCCTGCAAAGGCTGGGGCAGAAGCATGTCGGGCACACTCTGGCGAGAGCCAAGAGGCTGCAGGAGAAGGGATGGAGAGGAAGGGCAGTGAGGCCACAGAGGGTCTCAGAGGCTGGAACAGGGGCTTCTATTCTAAGTGAGGCTTGGAGCCACTGTGGGGTTTGAAGCACAGCAGAGCTGAGATTTCAAGGGATCCTGGAAGGGTCTCCCTTTGAGGGTTCAGAGGTACTTAATTCAAGAGAAGACATCACTAATTCAGTTTTCTTTTGCTTTCAACCTGGCCCTCTCCCCTCCAGCCCACCAGAGTGAACGGATACTGAAAGAAGCCAGACTCCAGGTCCGGGAGCCTAGTTCTGCTCCCCATCCCTTCCCTTTGGCCAAAGAGACTTGGAAAGAGTCTGCTCCCCAATACAGGCGTGAGTAGGAGGCAGGGGAGAACTTGTCCTGAAGCTTATTGTGCTGTGTCTGGACATGCAGGAGTATCTCTGCAGCAACCCATGTTCATCCCTGCCACCCAAACTTCTAGCCTGAGGATCTCTCACAAGGACTCAGAGCAGGCCTCACCAGCCTGCCTTTTTCAAATAGTTACTCATCCTATTTGAAAAGAGAGAAAGACCCCTGGGGGTTCATGTGGGTCTCAGTCCAGTCGTGTGTGTGAATGATGGATTATAGGGACCTGTGGGCTGGCTCCTCTCTTTCTAAGGCTATGGCCTCTTCTGCTGAGCCAGCTAATAGTGGAGCTAAGATTCTGACTGCCTCTGCCTGCCTCCAGCCATGGTGGTCACTGGGCATCATACCACCTGGCCAGTTCATTGGCTGCTTCTAGAAGCTGGATCCTTCATATTCCCCATGGTGACACTTCATCCTGGGCTGAGACTGCCTGGGTATCTGGGAATTTGAATGAATGCAAGTCTTGGTGACAATTCCTTCACTAAACCCAGGGGCACCATCCATCACCCTCTTGGTTTTGTGCTCAGGTCTTATTTTATTTCTTTCTCTTTTTCCTTTCTTCCCCCTGTGCTGTGGCTGGAACCCAGGGCCTAGCATATGCACCTGCTGGGCTTGCACTCTACCACCAAGCTCCACCTAAGCCCCACCCTCTGGTTTTTTTATCTCAAGGGTTGGGAGACCCAATAGGTCACTATCCATCCACAAGGTGGAAACTGCCACTTCAGCAGCCCCACTGGGGCCCACTCACCAGAGATTCCAGAGATTGCACTTTTTCCATGGGTTTATCTCTGGATTGGTTTGCGTTTTGCTCAGTCCTTCTGATCTTATCTTTTCACAGTTGAGATAATGAAGGCCTTGAGATCATGGGAACCAGAAGGTGCCACTCGGGCCTTCAGAGTTTTGGCAGAATAGAGGAAATGCTGGCCTCACCCTGACCTCTGGCCTCCGAGTGTCCCCCAATCCTGGCCAGAATCAGACTGTTTGGCTAGCAGGGACCTCGGCAATCACTGCGTAGCCCTCTGGCTTTGCAGAGGACAAATGTCAGGGCACAAAAGAGATACAACCTGTCTAGAGCTGGTGATAGCTTTGGACTGGAACCTGTGACTGGGACCGGGCCATGCTGCCTCGGTGCAACCCTGCTGATTTCTTTTCTGGCAGATAGTCCTGCCTAGGCACGGGCAAGCCGACCGTGGGCTTTGTTAGTTTTAGATGAGCTGACGGAGCAGCAGTACCTGGACCCTGGGCAGGAAGCTGCTGTCTACTATTGGCTTCTTACCCGCCACCCACCCTGTCCCTGTTTCCCCTTCTTTCTCTTTTGGGGCTCTGCTTCTCCTGTCCTCTCCTCTTTGCATTGCTGGTTCTGCCTCTGCTGTTGTCTCAGTCTCCCTTCCATTGTCACTCTCCTCTCCTAACACTCCCCAACTTTCTTTGGAGGAGGAATCATTTCTATTTCTCCCCAGACGAGAGCAACACGTCCTCAGACAGCTCCGTCAGTTCTGTCAGCTTGAACAACCCTGCCACCTTGCCTTCCACCTTCCAGGTAATGAAATTCCTAGTAATGTGCACTCCTCCATAGGAAACCTAGGGTCCCTGTAAAACTGGGAGCTCTGGACACCCCAGCTGTGGAGGCGGGAGCAAAAAAGGAGGGCTGGGTGAGTCCTCAGAGCGTCCCTGGGTGAGGGTGGTCCAGCTTCTGCCCACAGCCCCATATTAGCATGGATCCACCAAATGAAGGGAGTGCGAGCAGACCATAAAAGTGAAAGTGCTAATAGGAAACTACTCACTGGGACCCAAAGCTACTGAGTCTTGACCTCACTTGAATCAAGTGTCTGCATTTCCCTGTCATCCATCGCCTCCCACCTGCTCATCCTTTAGCCCATTCCCTGAAGACATACAGAACACAGTCACTGGAAACCCTCCTCATGGCCCTTGCCCTGCTCTCAGACAGCCACCTGGATCCATCCGGGTCCTTTCCCACCAAGCCTTGAGCAGCTTCTTTGGGTTCAAGTTCCCTCTGAGGGTCTGACCTCCTCCAAACAGGGTAGAAACCTTGACCTGTGTGTTTCTGTTGTCTTCCTCAGGCCATCAAGGATGTGAATTACACACCAGTGGTCTTTTCAGCCCCTGAATCTGTCCTGGACTATGAGAACATCAAGGAAGCTACAGATTATGTCAATGTCAATTCAGAAAAACCCAAGCCCAAAATCTGGACTTCTGTGAATGCTTCTTTCGTTGATCCAGTGGAATACACTCAAGTGGCTGTGTGAATTCTAGATTTTTTTAATAGGGTGAGATTCTCTATGTATTCTTGCATTCATTTTGTAGCAGAATTCCTTCCATTAAAAATAAGGTAGCTGGGCGTGGTGGCACATGTAATCCCAGTGGTTTGGGATGCCTGAGGCGGGAGAATCAGCAGGTCAAAGCCAGCCTCAGCAATTTAGCAAGGCCCTAGTCAACTTAGCGAGACCCTGTCTCAAAATAAATAATTAAAAGGGCTGGGGATGTGGTTCAGTGGTAAAGTACCCCTGGGTTCATTCCCCAGTACCAAAAAAAAAAGGCAGAGTGGGAGTAAATAGGAAATAGGACTATGTCCTAGCAAGAAATATCCAGATCAGATATTAGGAAGATCTTCCAGGTAAAGTATGAAAACAGTGGAGTCCATCAGTAGCGAAAGCAGTGAAGTCTTTTTTTAATCAGCTGTAATGAAATTCTGCTTGACAATTTTATGGTTAAATGACTTCCCTTTGAGCTCTTTAATTATTCACAATAAACAACTTCTTAAAAGTTTTAAATAAAATTATAACCAACAGTTCCTCTTTTCCTCTTGCCTAGCCCTGCATGTTGTCCCTTTTAACATTAATATATTTTGCTGAGTAATCTTGCTTCACCCTCAACATTTCATATAATTCATTTAGAAAGCCTACTGTCAATCAACCTGTGAATTTGCTGGTTTTTTTTTTAATAATAAGCAAAAGCTTACAAATAGAATCCTAGTCAATACCACTTAGATCATCATTGGATATCCCAAGGAAAAGCTTCCAGAATTTAACCTAATCAAAGTCAATATCCATTTGGATGTTTTTTGTGTTTTTTTTTTACCAATTAGAAATAAGAAGGTTCTTTCTTGACTTGATTAAGAATAGCTTATCTGAAACCATCAGATAACATGACATTTAACTATCAGGTCCTAGACATAGTCCCATTAAGTCCGGAACAAAGTAAGACTGTCCACAAACTTGCTATTTCTTTATTTAACATTGCTCTAGACATTCTAATCAGCACAACAAAATAGTTAACAAGCTTGGCATAGTGGCCCACACCTGCAGATCCAGCTATTGCGGGGCTGAGGTAGGATCATTTTAGTCTATGAATTTGAGACCTCATCTCAAAACAGACAGACAGACAGACAGACAAGAGCTATTACTACTGGAATGGAGGATAAATGTGTCATTGTTTGTAGATATCCTAGTCCAAGAAAAGCACAGGAACTTCAGTGCTTTAAAATTAATTATGTTCAGGGCTGGGGCTGGGGCTCAGCGGCAGAGCACTTGCCTAGCATGTGTGAGGCACTGGGTTTGAACCTCAGCACCACATAAAAATAAATAAATAAATAAATAAATGTATTGTGTGTATCTACAACCAAAAATGTATTTGAAAAAAAATTATGTTCAGTAATCAATGACTAAATAATACACATTTTCCCCCAATAGCTAATTTAGACATAAAATGGGAAAAAAATTGCTTACACTGGGTGTGGTGGCACATGCCAATAATCCCAGCTACTCAGAAAGCTGAGGTAGGAGGATTACAAATTCAAGGCCATTCTGTCCAATTTAGTGGGATCCTGTCTCAAAATAAAAAAATAAAAAGGGTGGGGATGTGGATCAGTGGTAGAATGCCCTGGTACTACTAAGAGAGAGAAAAAAAATTTACAATAGCTTAAAAAACATTGAAACCCTAGGAATACTCCCAGACAAATCTAAATCCAGATCAGTGATGGGCAGTTCCTAGGAAGACCAATCTGTTAGCCATGCTCCATCTGCAGGATGTAAATGCCCTTCCTAGTTCTGACGCTGTGTGCAGGGGGCCACCTTCACTTCCCGGTTCCTCTTCCCCAAGATGATCTGTAGGGATGATTCTGATTTGAGTTTGGGGGCTGGAAATTTTTTCCAGTCTGTTTGCCCTTCACTTTGTAGCTCTCACTGTTGTTTCTCCCCTTGAAAGCTTTACCTCATGGAGAAAAAAAAGATTCTGCTGATTAGAGAGACAGGATGAGGGATAATCATTAACCGTGATAGCAACACTGCCCTCGCATCAAGAAATGAAGCTTAGTCCGTGCAGGGCACAAGCCTGTAATCACAGTGACTTAGAAAGCTGAGGCAGGGCTGGGGATGTGGCTCAAGCGGTAGCGCGCTTGCCTGGCATGCGTGTGGCCCGGGTTCAATCCTCAGCACCACATACAAACAAAGATGTTGTGTCTGCCAATAACTAAAAAATAAATATTAAAAAATTCTCTCTCTCTCTCTTAAAAAATATTAAAAAAAAAAAAAAGAAAGCTGAGGCAGGAGGATCGCAAGTTTGAGACCAGTTTCAGAAACTTAGGGAGACCATCAGCAATTTAGCAAGACCCTGTCTCAAAATAAAAAAGGCTGGGGATGTAGCTCAGTGGTAAAGCACCCCTGGGTCCATCCAATCTCTAGTTCCCAAGTACCAAAAAAAAAAAAAAAAAAAAAAGAAGAAGAAGAAAGAAAATAGAAATGACACTCTACTTCTTGCTGTTGTCTTTTAAAAGAAAAACAAACAAACAAAAATCATCAAACTTGTGCTGAAGAGGCTCATATAAGTTATAGGGCACCCAAGAGAGATTGACAGTTTTGTTTCCACACTAGGAGAGGGGACACCTGGGCTAGCAGGCAGAATGCTTGCTTTCTCAGAATTCTGGAACAGAGGGTTAGGAGAAAATACAAATCAAAGACTTGAACTAGCTAGATTAAATTACCAGAGAGCAGCTTGGGAGTTGATTCTGGTCACCAAAATACCTATTATACATCTATTAAAAAGGCATTTGCTGAAGATGTTGCAAATCAATTAGCCACTGATGCTGTGCAGATTTTTGGAGGCTCTGGATTTAATACAGAATATCCTGTACAAAAAGTAATGAGGGATACCAAGATCTATCAGATTTATTAAGGTACTGTACAAATTCAAAGGATTATTACAACTTGTGAACATGTTAGCAGGTATAAAAATGAAGAGTCTGCTATAGAAATGTGGTTAATCATTGAATAGTTAGAATATGACCCATTATTTATGCTTCAGAAAAGAAAAATGGCTTTAAAATTTGTCCAGTGAAAATAAATATAAGTATTCTTATATAAATCTATATCATTGATTTTAATGTTAGTTTGCACTGTTGTTTAACAACTCTATAATGTCCCTTTTTTCAAATAGATTTGATTTCATTAAAATTATGTGTTGTCAGCTGTCTGTGGTGGTGCACACCTATAATCCAAGCTACCTAGGAGGCTGAGGCAAGTAGATCACAAGTTTGAGGCTAGCCTGGGCAACAGTGATTTAAATTAAAATAATTTTTTTAAAAGGGTGGGGAATATAGGTTGACTTGCCCTGCCTAGCATGTGTGAGGCGCTGGGTTCAGTCCCTAGTATTGTGGAGCAAATATGTTGTCCTTTTTTATTACTGTACTTGAATTATATCAGCCTAGAAAATTACATTTGTCATTCTGATGTCTTAAAGAAGCAGATATACCTTGGAATTTTATTATTTTCGAGTGATATAAAATTAGGCTTATTATGAACTCAAATATACCAAAATTTACATAAAGAAAATATTGTAGGATCTGGATAACATCAGACAACTTGCCAGTGACTTTGTGGATTTCATGGTATTATTATAAGAGTTTACAATTTGAAATGCACATGGCTTTCAGTTCTGCACAGTAATAGTCAAAATTTTGATACTCATACTTTTCCACTGTACAACTATGAGAAATTTCTTAAAAATCTTTTTATTTTAATGCTGACCTTACGTTTCACTTGCCTTATTTAAATCAATAAAACTTGCTCTAAGTTATTTTTATATGGCTCTGTTGGTCTCTAGGTAATCTTTGGCCTATTGTATACAATCTTATTCATGTGCATGCATTTTGAAAGGGGACGTAAATAAAATTATCTGTTCAGTGCTAAAAAACAAAACAAAACAACATGAAGATTTGATCATCTGGAATCATCAGGGAGGGGTTAAGGCATCTATGGCCTAGCTGGGGCAGGCAAGAAAGAACCGGAGAATGTGTACAAAATAACATGTAACAAAGCAGAATTAACACAGAGCAATAAAACCAGAGCCTATCCGTGTTATACAGATCTGAGGAAAGGAATGACTGGGTAGACTTAATCAGAGAAACCACCCCGGAGAGAGGCAATTTCTGACCTCAGTTTAGAAAGAAAGGTGGAAAGTCAATCAAAAGGAGAAGAGGCAGAAGCAAGACCTGCCCGAGTGCAGGCTCTCTCTACAAGTTCTTGAGGGACTGACCTGAGCTGAGCCTGATAGGGAAATGTCCTCCTGGGCTCAGAGTGTGCTGGGATGCTCAGGGGCAGGGAGTGGATGTTAGGGAGACCAGGCACCATAGGCTGTAGAATGGCACAGATCATCTAAGGTCCCTGATGAAGTCTGCTTCAAAAGTATGACACTTTACAGCAAGTCTATCGTGGAGGATAACATCAGGGCCCATCCTGCTTGCATATCAGGTACAGGAATTCTTGGAGAGTGCCATTTAAAAAATCAAGTTCAAAGTGTGACTCCACCGAATGAACTCATGGGTTGATGATGTCTCAGATGCTCTGATAAAAGGAAGGCCAATTTTACCTCCCAAGGAGTTTCAGCAAATAAACTGATGATGAGGGCTAGCCAATAATTTAAATTACCATAGTTCCCCCTTATCTTTAGGGGATACTTCCAAGGCCCCTAGTGGACACCTCAAACCTTGGATGCTACCTGACCCTCTTTATATTATGTTTTTCCTGTACATAAATTAGGCATAAGAAGAAATCAACAACAACTACTAGTAAAATAGAACAATTATTATAGTAAGCTAATAAAAATTATGTGAATGTGGTCTTTCATGCATATGATACTGTGACAATCTGATAATCAGAACAGCTACTAAGTGATTAACATATGTGTAGCTCATATGGCATAGATCTGCAGGACAAAGATGATTCGTGTTGCAGGGAGAAGAGAATAAGATGGTGTGAGACTGGAATTATATCATGACACTATTTCATGACACTACTCTGAATGGCATGCAACTTAAAAACTTATGAATTATTTATTTTTGGAATTTTCCGTTTAATATTTCCAGACCATAGTTAACCACAGGTTACTAAAAGGCCGAAATTAAAACGGTGAATAAAGGAGGACTGCTGTAATTAATCCTCAAAATTACTACCAGACACATTGCAAGCAATAAAATAGCCTTTATGACATTTCTAGGACACTCTATGTCCTTAGAGGTTCATCTGCCTAAATCTGTACCCATAGTGTCTGCATAAGTGATCACCCTTTGAGGAGCATAGTTTCCAGTTTAAAGGAAGTCACGTTCTCCCATGTTCCATGTCATTAGAACCTCCAGGAAATAATTATGCTGTTCCATTCTGGGTTCCTCCATGAGTGAGGAATCCAGATAAAAATATCCCCCCAAAATTCTGATAAGATCCAAAGAAGATGATTTTCTATTGGTAAACACTAGATGGTTAATTATATGCCAATAATGAGCTGGGAATATAGACCACAGCAAATGTGACCTACTTCAATGGACTCTTATTCTAAAGGAGCAGGCATCCAAATGTCCACCATGGGAACTGCAGAATAATACCATCAGTGTTTTATTAGCCAACCTGACCTACTTGGGCAAGGAGGTATTTTATGCTCAATGTCCATGGGGTTTTTTGTTTTTATTTGTGTTTTTGTTTTATTTTGCTCCTGGCATTAGGACAGATTGTTGAGTTCAGAGGGGCTCTCAAGAGGCCCATGCACCCAGTCTCTAAACCACAGCACCTAAGAAAACTATAGCTCATCTGTTTTGGGGGGTCTCACTAGCTCCCTTAATCACTCATGTGTACATCTCATGGCCTGTGTTCAGTCCCTCACTTTGTAGTAGAAACCTCTTATTCTCTGCCCTTGCCAAATACATCCCCCGTGGGCTTAGAGAGAAGGCAGCATGTGTCCAGGTATCTCAGGAGAACTGGAGGAGATAAGGAGCTGAGACTCTGCAGGACTTCAGGAGAAATTTTCTAATGGCATTCAAGCTAAGGAACTGGGTAACTTTCCCAGTCTTCCCCTGAGGGCCATTACTGCTTCAGACCCTCCAGGAGAGGGAGTGAATAAACTGGATTTTAGTAATATTGGGCTGAAGAAGGGGCGCCACCAAATTCTGGGGCAGAAGCCACCCAGCAGGGCCCAGCCCAAGCCAACTTTGCCAGCACTTTCAGCTCCACAGTGCCACCTTGTGGTCTAATGACAAACTCCAGGATACTCTGCTTTTCTGATGATCTTAGAACAGGACTCCAAGGGAGGTGGTCCTGCCCTACCCCTCTCTCTCAAGATCATGTTTTAATTTTTTCTTGCAGATTCCCATTATACTTGCCCCTAGGAAACAAAGATTACCAGCAATGTCCTGTATATTAAAGAGTTTTATTAGTGGATTTCAACCTTCTCTGGGTTTCAGACCCAGGAATGAACTGCTATAGCCTGGGCTGAATTTATAGCCCCTTGATAGATAAAAGGCCTCTTTATATACAAAACACAGACATGGTCATCTGGGAAGTTACTGGCTGATACCAAACTATGGAAAAAGCCAATATGCAGAATCCCCATAGTCAAATGATCAATGCCCTACCTGCCATCCTCTCAGCCCTGCCTGCCCCTCACCTCCTGCTCCTGAGAAGGCTTTAAGGGACTGGGGTACTATATTTCACAGTCCATAGAATGGCATCAATATTTTACACAAGTGCCCCACCCAGAGACAGCTCTGTTCAGTTTCTCCTGGGCTTAGTGGTTAGGAATGGGATTGACGGCAGAGAACCCCCTTCTTGCTTCCTGCCACCTTGTGTCCCATCTAAGACTCATCCAGTCTGTCCATGAGAGCTTCCTACAGGTCCTGAAAAGCTGTCATTCATAGATCCAGACAAGACCCACCATTTCCTCCAGAAGCTTTCTGGAATGGGACCCTGAAACCCAGTGGCTGGTTGTTCTCCATTGGTTTTTAATAAGAAAGAACCTGGGAAAAGATCAAGAGCAACTTTCCCATGGAGGAACAGTGGGGGTCCCAAAGCCACCCTCACAAGTCCATTTCCCTTATTCAGTGCCAAACAGAAAATACGGTAGTGGTAAGAAGGGGTGCTACTGAAGGCAAAGAGTAGATGAGAAAGGAATTTGAGTCAAACTCGATCCCAGGTGGGTCTCTTTTCCTGAACTGTAGACCCTCCTGGCCCAGGGTCCTGGAAATGATCCCCCAGAGACAATCTGGAATGAGGCCATCGTTATCTGATATCAGCAAAGAGTGCTATAGCCTACAGTCTTATAAATCCTTTGCAACAAAGTGACATTGCTACTTCTACTTAATAAACGAGGACAGTGCTGCTCAGAGACTGAACAACTTGCTGAGTCAATACAGGTAGAAAAGGGGTAAATCCAAGACTCAAACCCAGGTCTTTAGGTTGTAAAGGTGGAGTTACATTTATCCTTTAAACATCATGATGAACAGATGTTTACTCAGTGCCTATTTACTATAAGCATTATGGCCAGGAACTGTGTTCAGAAGATGGCAACCGCTTGTGTGGGCAGAAGCCTTGCTGGTATGGGAGTCTCCTAAGCCCAGCTCCACTCAGGCAGATGAACAGGGGCTTCCATGGGCTATAGAACCCAGTGAATAGGAGACTATGCGTCCTCTTGTCTTCCTAGAGCCTTATTTCTATTAGGGCCTATGTCCTGGTGTCCAGTTCTCTATCACTAAAGGGCCAGGACTCAGCTCAAGCCCTTTTCTTTTAAGGAAGCCCAAGGAGGCTTCTTAGAGCTGAGTGGCCTCTTTCTTTCTTTGGTACCAGGGATTGAACCCAGGGGCACTTAACCACTGAGCCACATCTCCATCCCTTTTTTAAAAAATATTTTATTTAGATACTGGGCAGGGTCTCACTGAGTTGCTTCCAGCCTCTCTAAATTGCTGAGGCTGTCTTTGAACTAGCGATTCTCCTGCCTCAGCCTTCCGAGCCGCTGGGATTACAGGTGTGCACCTCAGCACTCAGCTCTGGGTGGCCTCTTAAAGGAATGTATCTACAAAAGTGTAATCACCCCTCAAGGCTTCCCTAGGAGTGAGGCAGAGAGTGAATCTGTCCCCTAGAGTTTCTCTCAGATGCTCTTAGTTAGATTACTAATTCCTTACATCAGTATGGAGCGATGGGGTTACAGACCTCATTTATATCCACAGTCCTTTCTGTCCCTCATAACCGAGGTGGCAAGGTTAGCCAGCATTTTCCTGATGTTGGTCATTGGTGGCAGCAGAACCAAGACCCATCCCTGCTGACCTTTCAGCTGATGCTCCTTCTACCATCCAGGCTGTCTCTTAGAATGACAGCTGGAGTGAGGAAACTACCCTGTGATGTAAATCCCCCTGGAGATAAGGAGGAACAGGGCAGAGTCTCAGGTTCCACCTGCCCTGCTGTCTTTCCTGGCCTTGGAGAAGGATTCAGCATCACAGAACTGAAGACAAAGTGGGCAGCATGGCCGTGGCAGAACCCAGAGTCACCAGAACTGTTAAAGAGTATAAGTGTCACTGCCGTGAAAATTCAACAGTTCTCCTGGAGCTTGTGAGTTAGATGCCCTTTGTGTCATCTCTTATGACACCACTTCCAGTCTTGCAAAGTCAGAGAAGCTTACAGCTGAGAAAGACCTTAGAGACCATCTCACCTGTTCAACAGGTGAGGAAGCAGAGACCCCGAGAGGGAGGTGACTTTCCAAGGCAGAGCGGAGATGAGAATCCTAGGCTCTTGACTCCACCCCCACATCCATTCAGTTTTTACTGGAAGCGCCACAGAACCTCAAGGATATTCCAGAATTGTGATCACGCACTCCTCCTTAAAGACTTCTCCTCCATGCAGCCCCAGAGGAAGGAGTAGCAGGAACCCCTTGGGGAGAGGAGGGAGGGAAACCTGCCCCTGCAGCCTCTGAGGTTTATTCCTGCTCTGAATTTTACTGTGACCATTTCTACCTCATCCTTTCCTCTTTCTTCCCTGACTCCCCCAGGTTAGGCTCTACCACTGAGGACACACAATACTCCCCCTGCCACCCATCCCGTGGGGGAGGATATGGGGGAAGAGGAACTGACGTTTGCAGAGTTCCTACTGTGTAGCAGATGCTGTACCAATCCTGCATCTCCCTTCCACAAACAAGAGGGCATGGCAGGTGAAGGCTGAATACACATTCGCCTTGCTTCATGAAACTATATGCCCTATACCAAAAAAAAAAAATCAGGATCCAAGTAGGTCCTTAGAGTTTTTCACTCCCTGCGCCCTGGGGTTGGGCTGGGATGTGCAAGTCAGGTTAGACTGGGGACAGGTAGCTAAGGCATGAGACCAGCTTCTGAGTTCCTGCCTCCTGGGGACCCTCAGACAGTGCCACCCCAGGTCTGGTGCACCACCTCCACCCTGTGGGTGTGTTCCAAGACACCCTGTGAGTATGGCAGGTCCAGGAAGCAGGCCATTTGATTCTGCCTGACTGTCACCATGAGACTGGGAGCTAAGGAGGACAGGCTTCACCTTAGAGGCTGCTATTCTGGCCTCTTCGCACTGCCTCAAATTGGGTTCCAGGGAATGCTAACCCTGACCTCCCAGCTCTTACACCCAGTGCCTGAGATGGGCAGAGATCCTCCACTGCTAGCCCTGGGGGCAGTCCCAGGCTCCATCCAACAAGTCTTCTCTAAAAGATGCTGGTCTCAGTGGTGGCTTCCCCGTCTGCCTGTTCTAAATCCTTCAGTGACTCTGCCGGCCCTGGCCTCGAACTGAGGCTGAGGCTGAGGGTGGGTGGGCAGCTGGAGCGGGTCAGCAGGGTGGTGCGGCGGCTGGAGAGACTGCTGCTGGAGAGCTGTCTACGCATGCGGGGCCGGGCTCCCCCACAACAGGCAAGATGACGCAGGGGGCGTGGTAACAGGTGGCTATTGAAGCCCATGTAGATCCAGGGGTTGCAGCAGCTGCTGATGTTGCCCAAAAGCATGGAGATGGTAAAGGCCACGTTGGTGGAATCTGCCACAAGAGAAGTACAAGAAGACTTAGGATGGTGACTTGCAGGGATCTGGGAGAGAGGCCAGCCCTCCGCTGAACAGATGAGGAAACCGAGTCCCAGAGAGGAAAAGGGATTCGCTCCGGGTTCTGTAGCTAGAGAGGAGCACAGCTGGGACTTGACTTGGGTCACTTGACTCCAGAATCTACCTCACTGATTTTGTTTGTTTTGTAACTAACTACAGGGTGAGAGCAGGAGCTTTTTTTTTCTTTTTTTTTTTTTCCAAATTTTAAGTTGAATTTAGAAGAGTCCACATTGTTAGGGAGAGGACCAGCTCAAATAGGAGAAGTTGGTTCTGTTCTAAAGCCTAGAACTTGAATCCCCTACTGGATGTAGACCTGGGAAAATAACCAAGTGCAGGTCCCTTCTACTTCTGTTCCTATGCTGCCCTCCAGATTCTATCTTTGCCTTTCAGGGCCAGCCTCACTTATTCTGTCATTTAGTCACTGAATACATGTGGAGTACTGCCTCCGTGCTGGGCCCTGTGCCAGGGACCTGGTAGGACAATCAGTGGAGCCTTGCTGCTCCATAGGTCCTATGGCCTCATTTCCAAGCACAGGAGAGAGGAAAGCTTCTAGGGACATCTGAGTATCCCATTCCAGTGCTTGTTCTCAGATTGTCCCTAGGAGCACACTGACCCCTTTGCAGGGAAAAACTAATTTCTCTCTTAGGCAGTCAAAATGGGAGAGTGCCAAACTCTGACAAGATTCCTTCCAGATATGATCTTTCAATAGACTAAATGAGACTCTCCAGACCAACAGGAAGGCTGCAGGAGGGGCACCAGCCAAAGACCGGACTACCAGGCAGTGTCTGAAGCTCTGATGTCTACCTCACCCCAGAAAAAGGCAAGTCCTGCCATGTGCCAACTGAAACACAGAACTCTTGGGGGATCCCATTTGTTTTTTATGTAAGAGGAAGGCCCTTCGTGTGGAGGCACTTTTAGAACCAGGGTTATGAGCAGGGCTGGGCTGAGGGAAAAGACAAGGAGGCAGAAGACCTGGGCTTAAATCTTCACTTTGCCACTCTCTAGCTGTGTGTCCTTGAGCAAGTCGTGGTTCCTCTCTGAGACTCTGTTTCTTCATTGACACAATGAAGTGGCTGAATTTGAAATTTTTTTTTTTTTTTGGCGGGGGTGGGGGTGGGATTGAACTCAGGGGCACTCAACCACTGAGCCACATCCCCAGCCCTATTTTGTACTTTTATTTAGAGACAGGGTCTCACGCAGTTGCTTAATGCCTCGCTTTTGCTGAGGCTGGCTTTGAACTTGGGCTCCTCCCGCCTCAGCCTCCTGAGCTGCTGGGATTACAAGTGTGTACCACCGTACCTGGCTGCACTTGAAATTTGAGGGTTGTCATGTGTCAGCCCTAATTAACTGAAAGTGGCCATTGAGATGGAGCTCAAAGTGATGTCCAGGTACAGGAGGGAAGAGTGCCGAGAGAGACAGTTTCTGGGCCACAAATTGTCATCCTGGACCAGATCATTTGGGGGAAAAAAAAAAAAAACCTTCAACTCTAGAATCTTTGGATTCTAAAGCCCATCTGGCAAACTGGAAGTTGGTTGGGCAAATCTGCCTACGGTTACAGTTCATTAGCATCACATAGTATTTTCAAATTGTTAAGTTAGATATCAAGATTTAAAAATCAGGAAATTTCACATAAAAGATACATAGCATTGGTAGGCTGGATGAGAGTTGCATCTGTCCCTCTTCACAAGGGAAAATGTTATGGTTTGAATGTTTGCCCTCCAGAATTCATGTCAGAAGCATAATCTCCACAGTCATATGTCCATTATACTTGCAGGTAGGACCTTCGAGAGGTGACTGGGTCGTGGGGCTCTGCCCTCATGAATGGATTGATAGATTAATGAATTATCAAGGAAGTGGGTTTGTTATCACAAAAATATTTCTTCTATTAAAGTCAGTTTGACTATCTCTCCTATGTCCTGTGATATCCTGTGCCACCCAGAGACTCTGCAGAGAGTCCCTCTCCAGATGCAAACGTTTGACTTTGGATTTTCCAGCCTTCAGAGCAGTAAGAGCTAAACTTTTTTCTTTTATAAGTCACTCAGTCTCAGGTACTCTGTTCCAGCAACAGAAGATGGACCAAAACAAACAAACACCAACTTTCCTAATGGCTGCACTCATTTGTCACCCACCTGGTCCTGGGAGGCATTGTAACCCCTGCCTATCCCTACTGTCCTCCTTTCCTGCTCTTCCCTACCTCACCACCCCGAATAGACCACATACTTGCCTTCATCAGGGGCATCCTCATCCCACACAGACCACATCTGGACACTGAAGAAGGGTGCCCAGCAAGCGATGTAGGCCAGCACGATGATGAAGGTCATCTTCACCGTTCGGATCTTGGCCCGAGAGATGGTGCTGATGCTGCTGACCCGAGATGGTAGCCCCCGCTTGGCCGCAGCTGGGGCAGAAGGTGAAGGCTTGTCCCAAGTCCTCCAGCCCCCTGCTTCCACCCTCCCAGCCTGTGTCTTGACTTTTAGGTTCTTACAGATCTCATGGCAGATGAGGCTGTAGCAGGCTGTAAGTATGGCCACAGGCAGGACAAAGATGGCCAGAGTAGTCCAGGTGATGTAGGCCCGTGGCCCCCAGGAGAAGCGGAAATCAGCCCAGCAGTCCAGCACCCCTGTGCCCTGGATCACCTCCCGCAAAGAAAATATGAAGACTTGAGGGAGGCTAAGGATGGCAGCCAGCAACCAGGGAGCCGCGATGAGTGGGTAAGTGGACTGGCTGGGCTGCTGGAGGCTGCGTAGGGGATGACAGACGGCCAGGTATCGGTCCACTGTCATGGCCAGCAGCATGTAGGTGGAGGCAAACATGCTCAGCACCTGCAGGTACTTGACAGCCCGGCAGAGGAGGTCAGGACCCTGGAAGCGGTAGGTGATGTCCCAGAGCAGCTGGGGCAGCACCTGGAAGAGTGCCACACCCAGGTCAGTCAGGGCCAGGTGCAGCACAAACAGGTGCATGCGGGAGCGCTTGCGACCTGGCTGGCCCAGGGTCAGCAGCACAGCCAGGTTGCTCCCTGTGGCCAGCACCAGGACGGTAGCCAGTATGCCAATCTCCACCTTGGCCAGCTCCTCATCCCGGCCCAGCCAGGGTGTTGTGGCATTGGGGGCAAAAAGGGTGCCCCCAGGGTTGGGTATGGCAGTCCAGGAAGGCTCCAAATCCATGGTCAAGGTTTGCTGGGGGTGGGGGAAATGGAGGGAGGGTGTGAATGAAGTATCAAGGGGAAAGTTTAAGAAGAGAAAGAAGGATGGGAATGATTGGGAGAAGGCTTGAAAGCAGGAGGTAACAATGTCAAGGACAGGGATAGAGAGAGGAGGGACAATGGGATAAGGAAGAAGAAAACAGAGCTGGCCCCAGGTAGGCAGGGGAACCCGGGGGAAAAAAACCCAACAATCAGGCAGATGGGGTGTCGGGATAGGAAGAACAGGGGAGGCTGTGCAGGATGGCTCAGGTAAGGAGAGACCTGGGCCAGCTGCCACTTGTCCCCAGACCACCCCAAATTCACTTTCTCCCAACTTTCTGTAAGTGGAGAGCGGATGCCTCTAAGCCTGCTCAAAGGTGCAATCCAAGATCATAGGTGTCCGCCCGCCAGGCTGCAGGCTCCAGCCTAGAGGCTCGCTCTCACGGCGAGCGGCAGCGGAGCCGGTGGCTGGAGCCCAGCGGGTTTTATGCGCTTCCAGCAGAGTCCAGAGGCCCGGGCTCCCGGGTTGGCTCCTGCAGTGGGAGGGCGGAGAGAGGCTCACAGGCACCCACCAGGCTGGACTGCTAGACTGCTGGGGGAGGGGGCAAAACAGGAGGAGGAGTAGGGGCAGTGGCCCAGGGACAGGGAGCTAATAAGAACCCAGCAACGCAAGCAAGCTCCCACCAGCGGGCAGGACTCACGGACTTAGCAGACAAACGTCTCTACACTCGCGCCCTGCACCCTCCGACTCTCTCCAGACAGATGCACACCCGGGCTGTGTGTGTGTGTGTGTGTGTGTGTAAGAGGTGGCCTCTTGCCACTTACGCAGAAAGTAAGGCTGGCAGCGTTGTGTGGCACGCCCCCTGCCTGGGGCTCCCGTTTAACCCGCGAAGGATCTAAAATCACTAGAAGGAGCCGTCACTTAGGAGCGACATCCTACCTACTGCACAGTCTCAGGCGAAGGACTATCGGGAGGGGAAGAAAAAGTAAAGACGTTTATGGGAAGGAGAGTGGGGTGGAGGGATGGAAGGAACTAGACCTGGGATCCCTGGTAGGACAGGTAGGGAGGAGAAGGAAGGAAAAATTCCGAGTATTTTCAGCTAGGGGGAGTCTTAAATCTTGTCCTGTCCTGAGTATTTTTCTTGAGCTGGTTGCTTCCAAACTACATAAACGCAATTAATCACATTGTGAGACAGAAACCTGAGCCCTGGAGAAGTTAGACAGTTTGCCCTAGAAGATTACAGAACCAGTAATCAGTCGAGGCAGGACCGGAACCAGCCCAGCATGCTTTGTCCAAAGCACAGCTGCTGCATTTACATTAGGTCGTTGTGTGAGAAACCCGTGCTGAGGGTACAGAGGAAACTTACAGGTCAACGCAGGTATTGCGTGGTATTGGAATTCACTCCAGCTTCCCTGAGTTCACATACACAGAGTGCATTATTGAGACGCTCTAGAGCAGATTTCGTAAGGAGTGACAGTACTGTGGTCCAAGAATCTCAGGAAAGGCTGGGTCTGTAATGGTAGGGAGGTCCTTTGTCTTGCCTTTAATCCATCTGGATTCAAACCCCTTTACAATGTTACTCCACCTGCACATCCAATTAGCACCACTTCTGGAAGGTTCTACATCCTGTACAGCCTACAAATTCATCTCCTTTTGTGCTCTTCAGCCTAAGATTCCACTTTCTCAAGGAATTTGCTCTTTATGAGTGATTATTTTCAGTCTCTGCCAGCTCACATCTATATGCTCTAGTACTGTACTTTAAAAAAATAATTCTAACTCCTCCTCAGATACTATACCAACTCCAACTGCCATAGCCCCTTCTCCTTCCCAGTGAAACTTCTCAAAAGGGCTGTCTGTGTTTGTCTCCACGTCCTACCTCCCATTCATTTCTTGATGTAGTCCCTTAGAATGCATGTTTAAAAAATATTATGTAGGGGCTAAGGTTGTGGCTTAGTGGTAGAGAGCTTAGCTTGCCTAGTATGTGTGGAGCCCTGGGTTCAATCCTCAGCACCACATAAAGTTAAATAAATAAAGGTATTGTGTCTATCTACCACTAAAATATATATATATATGATATCATACTACATGTATTATTATGGAACTTGCTTTTAAATTCTACATTATTTTTGAGATTTGTTTATAATGATACATAGGATAGATTTAGTTCATTTTTACTTAATAAGCATGTGAATATAGTACCTTTTATGTACCCATAATTATATTTTTATAATTTAGGTTATTTCCAGGCTTTCCCCACTATTTATTTATTATATCTATGTGGATACATTTCTTTTTAAAATTTTTACTGATGATTATTGTACACATTTATGGGGTACAATATGATGTTTTGATTCATGTATACATATTTGCTTAAATGCTACAATGAATGTTTTTATGTCTCCTTATGTTCATGTGTCTGAATTTCTCTCAGGTGTGTATCTAGAAATATGTACTGGGTATAAGCATTGTTGGGTCATACAATTATGAACTTTCAATTACATAAGCCATTCTCTAAAATTTTAATCTCTAAATTAATTGTAGCAACAGTTGTATTTTAGTTTCCAAACATTCTCATAGTCACACTTTTACATTTTTACCAATATTATAAATGTGAAATAGCATCTCATCTTGCTTTTGTATTTCTGTGGTTATAAGTTATGAGCATCTTTTCATATATTTACTTGTTTGGATTTCCTTCTCTGTGAATTTTTCATATCCTCTGCAAGCCTTTTATTAGGTTGTTTTTCTTATGAATTTTCAGGACCTCTCTTTATGTTCTGATATGAATCTTTTACCTATTTTCATATGTTGCAAATGTCTTCTCTAATCTACTTATCTTTTAACTTTGTGTCGGATCATTTGTTGCATGGAACATTTACATTATGATCTAATTATTCTCCTTTTCTTGTGCTCCCTACCTCAAGAATACCAGTATTTCCCCCCACCACCACCATATTTTCTTTTAACAAGTTTAAATTTGTTTTTCATATTTAGGTCTGCAACCCATCTGAATTTATTTTTGAGTATATGTGAAGTAGAAATCTAACTTCATTTTGTTTTCCACATGGCAAACCAATCACTCCTTACAGCCCACTAATACCAATTATCACCTGTGTGATATATCAACTTTCAATTCTATATGAGATTATTTCTTGGGTCTCTGGTACATTCTATTGATTTATTTTTTATCCCTATTCCAGTGTTTCACTATTTTAGGCACTATAGCTCTACAATGAATATTCTCAAAGTATTTTTCAAAATTTTGAAATTGTTAAATTTTGTATAAGTTTACATAGGTCCACAAACAGTTGTGTTGAGCTTTTAGATAAGCATTGCATTTAGAGAATAATATGGGGGAGGATCAACTTACTTAAGATTTTATTTAAAATATGATATGTCAAGAGCTTTGTAATGTTTTGAACAACTAATAATAACAAAAAAATATTTTATTTAGGTCTTTTCTTATGTCCTTCAATAATTTTCTTATAAAAAATTTAATTTTCTTCATAAATGTCTTCCCACCTTGTGATACATTTATTCCAATGTGCCTTACAGTTTATGTTGTTATTATATACATTATTTTGTTCTACCACATTTTCTAATGACTAATCACTAATTACTTATTGCCAGTACATAGCAATACTATTGATTTAGTATCTTGCTGTTTTTCTGCAGTTTGTAAATTATTTTGGTTATCTATGCATACAGTATTATCTGCAAACAATTATAAGTTTTGATCTTTTAATCCCAATCTATTTAGCTCTTATTTCCTTTTTCTTGTCTTATTGTGAAGTCTAAGAGTCCAGTATAATGTTGAAAAGCAGGAATCACTGATGTTTTAAACTTGAATAAGAATGTAGCTAAAGTTTTACCATTAAGTATTATGCCTATGATAGGTCCTCTTTACTGTTTAATTTTTAAAATTTTTTATATGCATGATTATAGTCATAGTATTCCATAGTAGTTGTTATGGGGAAAAAGTACTCCCTTATACCACCTCTATTTTTCAACTTTTCAGAAGTATTTTCTTCCATTTTAAATTTTTTATTAAAGATAAATTTAATCATCTACAAAGGTAGAGAATAGCTTAGGGAAACTCCATGTTTCCATTGCCCGACTTTCACAATTATCCCTATAAAGCTAATCTTGTTTCATCTAAATTTTCATCCATTTCCCCCTCTACCTCAAGATTATTTTGAAGCAGATGTCTGATATCATATCATTCATTTGTAAATATTTCATATATCTATTTCTCAAAGATAAAGACTTTTAAATTATAATGTATTACCATTTTTGTGCTAGTCAGCATTCTCCAAAGAAGGAATTAATGGGATGTAGATCTATACCTATATCAATATCCATATTTTTATCAAGAGAGTGTTTTATGAAGATTTATTATAAGGAATGAGCTACATGACTTACTCCTGAATTCAATCCCCAGTACCAAAAAGGAAAAAAAAAAAAAAAAGCAAAAATTTTTAAAAAGTGAGTGTGGAAGGCAGAGGTTCAGCCTGATGGGTTTGGGCTTTAGAGACTCCACAGAAGTCTTTACTTTGTTTCTCTCACCATAAGATATCTTGTAGAGTCACAGCATGTCACAGTTGAAAGGGACTCACCCTTTAGTTCTGGTCAAAAGGACGAGGAGTGATGGAAAAGACCTCTAAGACAGACCATCAGTTCCCATCCTTTCATTTTCCAGAAGAAAGCCCAACCTAAAAGTCAAAGAGGCAAATGAGGTCCTCCAAATCACACAGCTGTGGAAGGTCAGAGCCCAGGCAGGACCTAACTCTTCCTGGGTATTCTCTCCCCTTCTATTCATCCTTTTCTCGGCATGGTGGTTCAATGTGGCCACAGGTTAGAACTTCTGGACAAATGGTAAAACGTCCAAGACTCACCCACAGAGATTTTGATTCATTGCCTCAAGGCAAAAATTTCAGACTGAAATTCTAAGACCAACTCAGTTTTTGGCAAGTAGTAGAAGCCTAATAGGTTTTTGTTGAATGTTCATTCAGAATTGAACGGGCATAAATGAGTAAATGAATTAT